GGTTTATGCCTTGCAATAAAAACACACAAAAACCACAAATGCCATATCTTCCTTTTTATAATACATTTTATATTTGCCATTATCGCAAGGCAGRGAAATCTCGGCAAGTCCTCCTGTACATGATCTTTGTTTTTTGTTAGTTTCCAACTGATTAGTTTATTATCCTAAGTATGCACATTTATTTGTCGAGTAGATAAAGCAGGGCTTGAACGCATGTTGTGTAATCGGTATATTATATCGTGCATAACACGTACAGATTTACAGCTCACGATTGAGTCTTATTTTGAAAACCCATTTAATTTTAAGATATCTTTGCGATTTGTTTCAATACCGATTTATAGATTAGAAAGTGGGAATCACCTGACATTTAATATTGATAGYATGCATGATGATACTAACGTCCAAAAAATCTTGATCAATCTCTTCCTTGTTGAGTCACCTCAAATTTTAGAAAAATATTCACAAAACAGTATTGTTGCGTGACTTTTTGTGAAGAAATGGCGTGATCCTGTYTATTTATAAATGTACATAGATTGCATTGGCATCGAGTTTTTTATACTGATTTTGATTTAAAAGCGCGTAACTCGAAGACACTAATGTATGTTAGTTACATCGAGTAATGCGCTGGGAGTGGCCGAGGCAAATTTKGGCRTKGCCGAGCGCGTAACTCGAAAAGCGCTTGACTCGAAAAGTGCGCAACTCGAAGCGCGTAACTCGAAAATTACCCGATCCCACAACCTACAATCAGACACTAAAATGAAAATGCAAACTTATCGATAAAACTGTGCTAGTCAGATTGTTTAGATGCTTAGATGATAATGATCGTTTTTGTGACGAGCGCTTGCCTATTTATTAAAAAACCTTAGTTAGTAGTATAGATTTCGTATTTTGATATTTTATGAATAATCTAACGGATGAAATTACGGAATTNAGGGCAACGGACTCTTTCCTTTTGATTTTGACTACGACCCCGTGGACCTCTCGAAATGGCACAGCGTCCGGCTGAACAGCGTCCTGCCGAACAGCGTCCTGCTGAACAGCAGCCCGAAGAGCCCGTTAATGCACCGAATGTCGTGCAAGAGGACCAACAGCCACAAGAAACTTTGGAGGTATTAATTCAATCGTGCGAGTATTGTATTTGTTGTTTGGTTAGTTTCTATGCGACTTGGTTCTGTCAAATGGCCGTAGGTCATTTGTTAGCGCTAGTTTACTATGGAATGAGTTCTTTGGCGTGTTGGTTCAAAGAATGACCGTAGGTGTGTATTTTTAGCGCTAATTTACTATGGAATGAGCTCTTTGGCGTGTTGGTTCAAAGAATGACCGTAGTTGTGTATTTTAGCGCTAAGTTACTATGGAATGAGTTCTTTGGCGGGTTGGTTCAAAGAATGACCGTAGTTGTGTAGTTTTTAGCGCTAGTTACTATGGAATGATTTCTTTGGCGTGTTGGTTCAAGGAATGACCGTAGGTGTGTATTTTTTAGCGCTAGTTTACTATGGAATGAGTTCTTTGGCGTGTTGGTTCAAAGAATGACCGTAGTTGTGTATTTTAGCGCTAATTTACTATGGAATGAGCTCTTTGGCGTGTTGGTTCAAAGAATGACCGTAGTTGTGTATTTTAGCGCTAATTTACTATGGAATGAGTTCTTTGGCATGTTGGAATGACCGTAGTTGTGTAGTTTTTAGCGCTAGTTATTATGGGAATGATTTCTTTGGCGTGTTGGTTCAAAGAATGACCGTAGTTGTGTATTTTAGCGCTAACTTGCTATGGAATGAGTTCTTTGGCGGGTTGGTGCAAAGAATGACCGTAGTTGTGTATTTTGACGCTAATTAACTATGGAATGATTTCTTTGGCTCCTGTTGGTTCAAAGAATGACCGTAGTTGTGTATTTTAGCGCTAATTTACTATGGAATGATTTCTTTGGAATGATGGTGCAAAGAATGACCGTAGTTGTTTATTTTGGC